TGACGATTTTTTTACTGCTTTTTTTCATGATCTTCTTTATCTACGTAAATTTTCAGCCTTGCACATTGACAGTTTTTTTAGTCAGAAAATATACACGTTTAAGCGTCCGCCTACGCACTCATCTTCCAGCGCGCCTTCTGACGGTCGGGCTCTCGCTTTACTGACAAAAATCGAACCTTTTCCAGATAAAATTTTTCATGCACCGAGGCATGTCAATCTCAGTGTAGCCAGCTNTTAGACTAGATGTTTTGTTTCCTTAAGCGCAAGATCCGCGGTAACGCTCGAAAACGCGTCTTATCGCGAGAAACCGTCTTTATTGCGGGGAAAGTCTCTTTTTCTATTGAAAGAGAGATTTATATAAGGTCGCGTTGCAAACTGTATTTATCGGTTCTTGCGGAAAAATATTTACCACGCCGCAAAGTCACTTTTTTCCGAAAGTAGACTTTGTCGTTTGGCCGATTCTTCTACGCTAGGCTTTTCTGACTGTCGCTCTTCGCTTATTCCCCTGGAGCGGCTCCAACGAAAAGAGATGGTTGGCCTGACGGAGAAAACGCTATTCTCCACGCACGGTTTTAATGGAATGCAGACCGGCGTCTCCGGTAGAGAATCGTGAGATTCCCGGAGGGTTTTCTAGCGGGAAGATAGCCGGTTTACCCGGCGGAGAACCGGAAGATTCCCCGAGCGGAGCGGAACGAGAGCCGGTTTTCCCGGCGGAGAATCGGAAGATTCCCCGAGCGGTGCGGAGAGAAAGCCGGTTTACCCGGCAGAGAATCGAAAGATTCCCCGAGCGGAGCGGAAGGGATGCCAGTTTACCCGGCGGAGAATACAAGATTCCCCGGAGCGGAGCGGATGCCGATTTACCCGGCAGAGAATCTAAGATTCCCTCGGAGCGGAGCGGATGCCGGTTTACCCGGCAGAGAATCTAAGATTCCCTCGGAGCGGAGCGGATCTCTGAGTTGCTGTCGGTTTGCCCGACCGAGAAGAAGCTTCCCTGAGTGCTACTCTTAGACCCGGAGATCGGAGCAGATCTGATTTCCTTGATTTTTGGGCCGGCTTTTATACCCGAATTTTCCCCGGGGCGGGGGTTGACAAGGATGCGCGAATAAACAGGTATTTGTTTGTCGCTGTGAGTTTCGTGGCGCGACGAGGCGCGTGGTGCGGGCGCGGTACCAGCTGGTACTTGTAGGCGCGGGGTAGCGCGCAGTGCGGGGACGACGCGCAGGCCGTTTTGTGGCGCGGGGAAACGCGCGGTGCGGGCGGCGCGCAGGCCGTCAGCGTATATTTAATATATGCTGATTTTTGGAATTATTATTTGGCGCTAAGCGCCGCGTTTTTGGCCGGGACGGATGGTCGGTCCCGGCCGTAACAATTTGCATCGTTACAAAGATAAAAAACTAATCCTAAACCACCAGTTTGGATTCAGGAACAAGCATTCAACACTAGAGCAGGTTCACAGGATCACAAACATCATAGAGGACACCCTGGAATCAAAAAAATCTGCTCAGCGGTGTTTCTGGACGTGGCGCAGGCCTTTGACAGGGTGTGGCACGCAGGATTGATACATAAAATATCTGAGCATTTCCTTGAGCAGCATTCTGAATTAGTGAAAAGCTACTTAACGGGAAAGATGTTTAGGGTAAAATTTGACAATGAATACTCGGAACTCAAGGATATTAACGCTGGGGTACCGCAGGGCAGTGTTTTGGGACCTATACTGTACTTCATGTTTACTAATGACATTCCTTACTCTAAAAATGTAACCATNGCAACTTTTGTGGATGACACGGCCATATTATCGACAGGAGAGAACATCTTAGAATCAACTAAGAAACTACAATCTGCCATTAAAACAGTCAACAACTGGACCAAGGAATGGAAAATAAAACTTAATGAGGACAAATCAGTCCAATACAACTTCACAAATAAAAGAGTAAAACCCTTGCCAGTATATTTAAACAAGAAAGTAATACCATATGCTAACTCAGCCAAATATCTCGGCATGAATTTAGATGCAAAACTTTGCTGGAAAGAGCATATCAAAAAGAAAAGAAAAGAGATCAATATTAAATACAAAAAAATGCTTTGGCTACTGGGAAGAAGATCCCAGGTATCCATAGGCAATAAATTGCTGATATACAAACAAGTAATTAAACCAATATGGNCTTATGGTATGCAACTGTGGGGCTGCGCTATAAAATCAAATATAATTATTATACAAAGATGTCAGAACAAAATCCTACGAGGAATTGTGAATGCACCATGGTATATTAGAAACAGGGATCTACATAGAGACCTAGGGATACCTACTGTGGAGGACAAAATAGGGAGAGCGGCGAGGATTCACAAGGATAGACTGCGTGAACACATCAACACGGAGGTTCACCAACTCCTTAAATTCAAGAATATAAAGAGGAGGTTAAAACGAAATAAACCTCATGATTTAGTCTAACCATACTGGTTTTAACTATAACTAGGAGATGCATTGGCTACTCCTAGATGGTACTTCTTTATAACTAATTAAGAATAAATTGCTGGTTAGTCAGAAATAACTAGTTGCAGTAATCATGGGAAAAAAATGCATTATATATTTCCGCGGAATAAATTGACAAACTTTTTTATTTATTTAGTCTTATGATATTTAGTTTGTCTTTGAATCTGTTTTTATATAGTTAATAGGAAAGTCAGGAATTAGATGGGATCAAAAGGTTGCACATTAAAAAACTCATAATTGGAATTTAACAGAGAATTTATTTGTTTTTCATCATATAAAAACAAATCAAACTTTATACAGATCTACTAAAGAAACCAAAAATATATAAGATAAAAACTATTAAACAAGTAAATATAAAAACTATCAAACAAGTACAAAAACTATAAAACAAGTACAAAAAAATTAAACTAAAACCTAATAATAAAAAAAATATATATATGTGTGTGTGTGTGTGTATCTCCTGGCAACGAGGACGTTTTTGTAAGAAGACACATATATAATTAAGTGTACAATGCACAATAGTATACTTTTTATTTGACAAATATAATGAGTATTTTTTACCTATTGTGGTCCGGAGATGGAGGAGGAGTGTTGTTGAACATGTGAATCTCCCCAAGTGCAGTGTCAAGTTGTTCTTGAATCCCTTCCACATGTTGTATCTTAATTTGGAGTATTTGCGTTGTGTCCCTTATGACATTGTTGGCTGTAGTTCTGAAACAGAAAAAATATAATGTAATTTCTGAAAAAAACTAGCTAGCCGTACAGGATAGTTGTAGTTAAAAACAGCTCGTAAAGAGTTAAAAAATAATATTGACGTACTTATAAGTTGTGAGAGAGATGACTGCCATTCCACTCGAATTCGGCCCTTTCATCTCTCCGTCCAACCTCCTCCATCGTTCTTTTATAGAATCTGTGTGTCTTTTCTCGCGTCCTGAAGGATGATAAACTTCTATCAGACTGTTACGTTTGTACATGATCTATCTGTTTCTCTTCAGCTTTGCGATTATTTTATACCTAACTGTGCATAAAACTAAAAAGTATAACCATCGCATCAAAACGCTGTTCGTCATAACAGATCATGTTACATATAAACGTGTCGAAAATGCGCAAATGTACAGTTGCACACTTAGAATCTGTGTGTCTTTTCTCGCGTCCTGAAGGATGATGAACTTTTATCAGACTGCTACGTTTGTACATGGTCTATCTTGTTGTTGCCAGCTCTACGATTATATTATACCAAAGTGCGCATGAAATTAAAAAGTACAACTATGTCGCATCAACACGCTGTTCGTCATAACGGATCATGTTGCATATAACCGTGACGAAAATGCGCAAATGCACACGTGTTCTTCTTGTTAACAAAATGGTTTATCTGCTTCATTGCAGCTATATGAAAGTTTATACCACCATGGTCAAACTGACATATCGTGTAACACTAAAAAATACAAATTTTGTTTAACCATAAACAAACCATGTTTAACCATAATCGAACTACGAACGAACCATGTTTAACCATAATCGAACCATAAACGGATCACGTTCAACAATAAGCGAACCACGAACAAACCACGTTTAATCATAAAGGAACCACAAACAAACCATAGTTAACTATAATTGAACCATAAACGAACCACGTTCAACAATAAGCGAACCATGAACAAACCATGTTTAACCTTTTTTTTTACGTGAAAGAAATCCATTATGCATACCCTGACCCTTAAGGAGTAAGGGCCAGGGTTATGTGGGAATCCTTCCCCCTCCTGTCCTGACGGGAGGTGTACCCACTAAAACCCTCACAGTGTGTCTTCTCTGCTCTTTGCGGGGAGGGACCCGGAAATTCCTTGTTCAGGATGCACACGGGTCCCTCCCTCAAGCTATGTCTTCTCGAAGTGGAAGAGCTGACGCTCCTCTCCCCTGCATGTTCTTCCTGGCGTTGCAGCGGGACACACACCACCGCGTCGACCCTTCTCGTGGGGCCGTGTGCAGGACGGGCCAGGAAACCCTCATCCTGGCCCGTCACTGTCCCCGCGGTGACCCAGAAAATCTATCGAGGTGGNCGGTNCCACCCCGGGAATAAGTAGTCACCGCCTCGTGACTACTCGGTCCGATAGTTGTCCCCCCAGGGCAATGGGTTAACGATGAAGGCCGGCCCTCACCAACGCCCACCGCCCCGGCTTCCTCTCCATCTCCTCGAAAGGAGAGGAAGAATTACTATTGTTGGGACCTTTGGGCCTGAGAACGCGCGCTGGGAGCGGGTGCCACCCGGCAACCCGNTCCCTGCGCCCCCGAGGCCCTTAACGAGGTATAGGAGCTCTTTTTCTCTCTCTTTCTTTGTCCTCCTTCTGCTTCATCACAGTGGAGCAGTGAAGCTGGCGTCTTTGGGCTGTCCACAACAGGGGCCATGGAACCACATGGCCTGTCTTGTGGACAGCCACCTTGAGACCCAGCCTCTCGATCCGGCCGACGACACAGTTCGTGCCTATTTCAGCCAGACCTNGTGTCTCTTCCCAGGTTGTTCCAGAAGCCACGACAAAAGTGTGTAACGGTTCTACTTTTCGAGAGAAAATATTCCGTTGTTTTATATCTTTTAATTGTGCGGAGTAGCTTGTCGGATTCCAGGAACAGGTAAGAAAGTGAGTGAACTCGGTGATTTGTAATAACGAGTTAAATTGATTCAATTAAAAAAACAAAAGAAACAACAAATAAAAATAATATGTACAAAAAAATAGCTGAATAAACGAAAGAATCTACGACACGGTGCTTCTCGNAATCATGCGTGAGACAGTCACGTGTCCGGTCGGTTCGTTCGGTCCTCCGGAGAGGAATATATACAAAAAGAACAAAATGCAATGCAAAAGATACCGTAGATCGAAGACTTAACGGTGCGGTGCTTCTCGGAACGGTAGGCGCGAAAGTCACGGTCTTATTCGGTCGGCCCGACGGAGAATCGGAAGATTCTCCCGGAGCGGAGCGGATGCCGGTGTACCCGGCGGAGAATCCAAGATTCCCCCTGGAGCGGAACGGATGCCGGTTTACCCGGCGGAGAATCCAAGATTCCCCCGGAGCGGAGCGGATGCCGGTTTACCTGGCGGAGACTCTGAAGTTTCCCCTGGAGCGGAGCGGATGCCGGTTTACCCGGCGGAGAATCCAAGATTCCCCCGGAGCGGAGCGGGTGCCGGTTTACCCGGCTCGTCCGGAGACCGGAGCGGAGCTGATTTCTTCGGTTTTCGGGCCGGCTTTTATACCCGAATTTTCTCCGGAGCGGGGGTTGACAAAAATGCGCGGAAAACAGATAGTTGTTTGTCGCTGTCAGTTTCGTGGCGCGGCGAGGCGCGCGGTGCGGGCGCGGTACCAGCTGGTACTTGTAGGCGCGGGGTAGCGCGCAGTGTGGGGACGGCGCGCAGGTCGTTTCGTGGCGCGGGGAAACGCGCGGTGCGGGCGGCGCGCAGGCCGCTTTGTAGCGCGGGGAAACGGCAGCGTATATTTTAATATACGCCGATTTCTGTAATTCTTCTTTTGGCGCTAAGCGCCGTGTTTTTGGCCGGGACGGATGGTCGGTCCCGGCCGTAACGATTTGCATCGTTACAAGTGTCATCTGCATAACAGATGACATTCAGGCCTCTGGGCAAGGCGGCCTGGATCACCACATTGTACCCGAGGTTCTATAGCAGGGGGCCTAGAACAGACCTCTGCGGAACCCCGCGATACATCTCGCTTCTAAGTGGCGATTCATACCGGCCCGTGTACTTGATCCTCCTGCCGCGGAAGTAGTCCCCGAGGATCTTCCTTAAAAAGGGTGAGACCCTGTGACGGTCAAGGACCCACCCTATACTATCCCAGGAAAGGAAGTTAAAGGCGTTGGAGATGTCAAGTGACACCGCCAACGCCCTCCCTCTCTGCCTGACCGACGCCTTCGTGAGGGACTAAGTCGGTAGACGGCATCGACCGTTGATCGTCTCTCACAGAAGCCAAACTGGCAGTCAGCCAGGTTGAGACCTACCCGCGACAGGTGCCCGATGAGACGAACGGCAACAAAGCGCTCAAGGAGCTTGCCCGCCTCATCGAGCAAACAGATCGGTCGGTACGCGGACGGTGAGTCCGCGGGCCTGCCTCCCTTGCGGAGGAGCACGAGGTTAGCTGCTTTCCACTCTGGGGGGAACCAGCCTGTCCTCATGCAGTCCGTGAAGATCTGCCTGAGGCGGTCGTCCAGGGGACCCTGTCCGAAGGAGAAGCCCAGTACCCTTCCGGGCACGCTGTCGGGGCCTGGCGCAGTGTTCTTACGCGCCATCCGACGGACGGCCCAGCGGAGCTCATCTTCTGTTACCCATTTCGGCGGACCATTCTACAGGCTGGTCCACCTGAGGCTCCCGAGAGGGCCCCTCTTTTCTGGGAAGAGCGTTGACATGACCCTTTCTAAAAGCTGGCGGTCAAGACTTTCCGTTATCGGGGGCGTACACGGCCGCAACTTCTTCATTACTAACCGGTACGGATGTCCCCACAGATCGTAGTCTAGCGCCTCAATAAACTCCGTGCACGCTTGGGACTTCGCCTTGGAGATGGCGGCCCGGAGGGCCTTGCGCGCAGCGCGGTAACCTTTCCGCGCCCTCTCCGCTGCCCGGATCGACTCGTCGTCGCCGGGAAGGCGACGACGGGCGTGGGTGCACTGGTGGTTGGCCGCGACGCACGCGCGTCGAAGCTGTGCAATCTCTTCCGTCCAACAGTACACCGACCTCCAATTCGGTGGTCCACGGGAGCGCGGCATCGCGGTGTCGCAGATGCACTCTAGCGTCTCCCGGAACCACCAAAGTTCCTCTTGGAGGCCACGCAGTCCGGCCGGCGGTTCCGGCCAGGTTACGACCTGAGCTGCACCAAACAGGAGTTTTGTGTCCAGTTCCCGTAGGACCCACCTCCTGGATCGGGGCTTCCTTTTCGCCCGAGGGCGGACAGAGAGCACTTCGACCTTCATTGTGATGTATCTATGATCACTGAGGGTCTCCGTGTCATCTCTGACGCGTCCTTTGGACACTCCGTATGCGGCTAGTGGGGCCGACGCAAAAGACACGTCGACTATTGAGCCCCCATTCTGCCTGACGCACGTGTGTTGCGAGCCCACGTTGACAACCGTAATCCCGCAGTCCGCTATAGTATCTTCTAATGCCGTTCTCCTATCGTCGTTTCTGGGGGACCCTCAGGTCTTGGACTTGAAGTTAAAGTCCCCCAAAACTTACACTGGACGAGCTGAGTGTAGCCTAATAGCTAGCTCGAGCTCGTCCAAATACCTTTTAAATTTGAGGAAGGGCTTTGTGGGCGAGAAGTATCCACCCATGACCACCAGCTCTCCCCATTGCGCAACAATGAATCCGTCGCCTCTCTCCAGAGGAGAGAAGACGACGGCCTCGTCACGCGTTCCATACCGAAAATAAATAGCGGCCAAGCCGTCCGCTGACCCCACGACGGGTGGTCGGGTACATTGTACGGCTCGGCCACAACCGCTGCACCCCCTTCCCATTCCGCGAGGTGTTGGATCATAAGATCCTGTGCTCCGCGGCAGTGAGTGAGGTTGCATTGAAAGAGGAGTAGAGGCCTTACGTTTTCCGGCGCGGTGTACGTGCACGTGGCGATGACGTGCCCGCGCCGGAGGCAGCGGTGGCCTGTAGATGCTGCCGTTCAAGTACCTCGACCGGCGCCCGCACCCACCCCACACTCAATGACCTGGTGTCCATCACCTTTCGCCCGACAGCGATTGGACACCGGATCCACGATGTGGATAGCCCGTTAGGGGAAGCGCGAGCTCGGCCGACCTTTACATCAGTCGGCCGACAACTCCCAACGGTCATCACAGCCTCCTCTATCTCCTCGGGGGTGATAGAATCATCGAGGCCCTTGACTCGCAACTCGCAAGTCTTCACGGGCCTCGTGATCTTCACCCCAAGTTCTCTAGCCAAGGCAGACATGGCTTCGTGTAGGCGATCCGCTCTGGTTTTGTTGCCTTCACCGGGGATCTCTATTATAAGAGCTCCGGTAACAGCTCTCTTGGGCCGGACTTTGAAAATTCCAAAGTCCGACAATTTAATCTTTCGCCGCATCTGGGCCACCGCCGCCGGCACGTCCGCACCTTGGGCGTTGGCGGTTATTGTGATGGCCGCAGAGCGGAAAGGTTTCCCGACTTTAGGGCGGGTGGCGCGCTGCTCGGGCTTAGCGGCCCCTGAGACAGCGGGTCTCTTTTCCGTACTTTTTGAGGGGGAGGCTGCAGCTTGCGCCTCCTTCCTCTTTTGTTTGCGGCCGACCACCTGGGACCAAGAAGTCCCGGGCTCGGCCGCAGAGACCCCCGGAGTGAGTTGGCTTGGTGGGGCCGGGTCCTCACGGCGGGCGGCCTGTGGTGGCACCGCTGGCCGGGCCTGCATGCCTTCCCCTCCGCTTTTCGACTTCTTCTTTTTTCTCTTTGCGGGAAAAGAAGAAAGAAGAGTAGCTTCACGCAAAGGGCCGGCTATGGCCAGAGTGCCGGCGCCGTCCTTCGCGTTTGCGTCGCTAGGCGCTGTTTTCTTGCCCAGGGGAGGGGGAAGTCGTGAGGCTTCCCCTCCTCCTGCCCCCAGGGACGGGCGAGAGAGCCGCTGAAACATTTGCCCCCAAAAGATGGATAGTTGGGAGCGCATCGCGTCCAAAATGCGGCCCTCCACCTCCCTGAGAGACTTGGTGGGACTTGGTGTTGCCCCCGTGCGCGGAGGGGGGGGCGCCCGGGACGCCACAGGCGAAGCTCTCCTCGCAAAAAGCGTTGTTCTTCCCCTACTGGGGAAGGAGAAGTCGCCGCCCGGTGGCTTTTCGGCTCCGGTGACACGGAAGGTCCCAGCGGCGAGGTAACCACCTGCGAGGATGGAACGGGAAGAGGCAAAGACCGGCGGCCGGAGGGATTTTACGGCTCCCCGCCTCCTTTAACCGCTTCTTCCTTAAAGACGTGAGGTCTCGCCTCAGGTCGCGGAGCGTTCCGTGCAGGGCGTCAACCTCGCTCTGCGGGCAACCGTTTTTCCAAAGGACGTCGTCCATTTTTACTAGACGGCACCCTTCACCCTTTCCAAAGAAGCAACGTTGTCGCGTAGCCGGCTGACCTCCGCGCCCAACGAGCGCGTCGAGGCGCTGGGCCTCCCTCGAGGGGTCCAGCCAGCCCGCCACCACAGACACGGCCTCCTCTAGGCAGGTCGCCGCCTCCTTGAATTGGCGGACGAAGGTACCTTCAAAGTTCTTTGACCTTGCCGCCAATTTACGGACAGCCTCCGTCATCTTCGCGGCCTGTTCGACCACCTGGGACGTAGGCATGTCTTTGATAATCACTGGTCGTGATGACGGGGCCCCCTCCGCATGTGTGCCCTCCGCTTGGCTCGAGGGGAGGAGTTGTCCAGGGTCGGCCGGACAAGGGGAGACGCACGGGTGATACTCTATTGACCACAGTACGATTCGACACCGCTCGATTCGACACAGATTTATTCGACACCAAATTATTCGACACCGTACGAT